ACATGGATACTCTATGTCCACTTAATCCTCAGATTAATTCACGTTCTCGTTTCCTCTTGGAAGGGAGCCCACTGGGCCCTGGGCACACTGCCTGCTCACAGCGTGTTGGCTGCCTGTCCTCTGGTCTCACCCAGTGAAGGGCCGTGCTTACCAGAATCCGTGGGTAGTTCTGCGGGTGACAGATGGTCTCGGGGTAGTTAAAACTTTGTTATATCAATGGACAGCGGTATTGTAGTGGAAGGGAATAAGACAGCTATAAAAGGTTGGGGAATAAGACTCTAAAGCAGTTCTGGACTTGGACTGTTTGCCAAGTGACTTTGCACTTTCATTCCACGTCAAAGACAACAGAAGTGGAGATTTTCAGCAAAGAATTAAAGGTACAATTGACACAGTCAGTAGACCCATTATTAAAGAAATAGAACTGAGTTCTATATGAGAATCTTTGTGTTGAGAGTTTTCCAATAAGTAGGAGGAGGCTTGGACATCAGCAAAACATATATAGGGTCTGTATTTTCAGAGCACCAATGAATAACCTGCAGTGTTTAACTGAGTATTTACTTCATTAATAGAGAAAAGCTGATGGACAAACACTGCAGCAATATTTGAGCATGTCCAGCTTATAAAATGTTGCCTCTTAAAATACTGATGCTAAATTAGAGCATTTATGGGAAGAAAAAACCCAGAGCAATATTCCTAAAACTTGCATCCTCTTCTGAACTGAGAATATAATTTGCAGATTCCAGTGAAAAACAAAGGTGTTCCATTCTTTGTGCAGAGTTTGATAAGCATGAGCCTTTTCACTACTGATAGCAGAGCATTCAGCCAAGCATGGGCCCTCCGGAGCACCCGCCTCGGAAGACCATGTTGCTTGTGACTTACTGTTATTGGCAAGAAGTAGGAATTTTTTAAAAGTTTAGTTTGTTCCAGTTTACTATTGCCTACAAAAGTTAGTATGGTGAACTTGATCCATTACCTTTTTCATAAATTATACCTTTGATAAACACCCAAAGAATAAACGAGGTTCTCATACTCTTTCTAAAATGTAAAGTTTTAATATTTTTATTATTAATGCAGTCTATGAATCAAAAGACTCTGGACTACTCAAATGTACCCTTTAGGTGAAAGAGTTTGATTTCCATTTGGAAGTAAAAATATAAAATAAGAATGAATATCAGTCACATAGAATTTTTAAGACTATCAGTATCAAAGATATTATTTTCCATGGAACAGTGACCTAGAATCAAATTCTCAAGATGTAAGATTTTATGTGCACCAGGGTGCCAGAAAACATGCGCTTTTACAGAGGCTCAGCATAACTGAAGGTCTTGACAAGAAAAAAGTAAACTAAATTAATGATGATAATTTGTTGGACAATGAAATTTTAAATAATGGATAAATCTTTTTTTTTTTTTTTTTTGGTCTTTTTCCTTTTTATCAGGGATCAAACTCATGACTACCTGCTTGCAAGGCAGGTGCCTATGCTGCTGAGCTAAATCCCCAGCCCCGGATAAATCTTTTATACATGAGACTACCAGATATATCTAAATATGCAGAGACTAAGGAAGAGATTAAATTCAAAGCCATGACTCAATCATGCAGTAGCTAGAGATATCTTCTGTGTAGTTTTATACTGAAGAACAGCAGAACCAGCAGTGATGGCACAGTAATTAGACAGCAGCAGAGCTATGCTGGGAAAAGCTGTCCTTCAAAGAAATTTAAAGTTACTGGCTTTATTAAATAAACATAGTAGGTTTTTAACCAGATTACAATGTTTATGGTATGTCTTTTTTTTTTTTTTTGTCATTTTGACTTTGCTAATGAGTTTATATGGTAAAAATAGACTTAAGAACTGACTCTCAGCTCAGAATGCACTGGGGTTTTTGTTTGTTTGTTTGTTTTTGGTATCAGGGATCGAACTCACGACCTTGAACTCGCCAGGCAGGCACTTATGCCATGGGCTAAATCACTGTTAAGAGCATCTGTCAGGGTCTTTCAGGGGAGTGATGAGGCAGCTGGCCAGCTGGCCTCCTGCTGCTGATTGGGGAGTCACAGGAGAAATCCCTGCCACACCCACTTTGGAATATTTCCCCTTCCAGTCATCTAGAGGGAGACTCTAGCAGTCAGCCCTCCCCTTTGTGACTTTTGGCTTGTTGCTCATGCTTGAAATTCCTGTGGGCTTTTCACCGTGCCTCTGCCTCGGTTCTCTAATGGAAATTCCAGTACGCCTGTTGGTACCTACTTCATTCAGATGGTCTAAAACATGCCTTCCATTTGAGGGAAATGTTTTCATGTGGAGTGGTGACAGGAGCTTCATTTTATTTGTTTACATGGTTGCGAGTCAGGTAGTCATAGAGAACAGATAATAGAGAGGAGTATAGAGGAACCATTGTGACATTCCTGTCCCCCAGTCAGACTAAAAGATTCTGTTTGTGATGCTGAGCATCAGGGAGTTTCTAGGTCTGCTTCACCTGGGAAGTTTCTGGACCACCAATCTTTAAAATAGAAGAATTATAAAAAGTGACAAGTTTCTGAATGCTTGTTGAACTTTTTATTTCTCAAAAAGGTCTGTTAAAGACTGGCTAATGCTAGTCACCCCCAAAGAAACGAGCTCAGACTGAACACCCGCGAGGCTCGGAAGGAAAAAGTGATTTATAGGGTTATTTTTCCTTCTTAACTCTTTTCTCCCTAGAAGTAAAAATGTGTTAATGTTAAAGAAATGTAGTAGTCTCTTTTAAAAGCTGAACTCACTCAGCCCCGTGATCCTCCCACATTGCGCCCTAGGGAGAGCGGAGAGGATGGCAGGGACCTTATGATAGAGTCCAGCTGGAGAGGAGGGTGGACGGATGTGTGCTCAGTGGACCATTAGCTGTTTGCAGGCTTTCTCTGTTTGCTCCCTGTGTCCCCACTAACACACACGTATACTTTGATAGCCTGAGAATCTTGCCTGAGATCCCACAGTCCGGGTGGGTTCTCCTGGACCCCAGTGTCCTGGAGTGGTCCCGACAGACACATGGTGAACCATCACCACGGCCTGCCAATATCTCGCCCCATTCCCTTCCCTCTCCTCTTTCTTTCCTTCCTCTGTCCTCTGTCCCCCTGGGCCAGGAGAGTCACTTAGTGCGTCCCAACGGGAGCAGCCTCCAGGGGGAGCCCGACTGCACCTCCTGGGGCGCGGGGGCTGCTGGAGGGGCGCCCTCGCCCCTTGATCCCTCCCGAGACCGCGGTGTCCCCCGGCGGCGCCACTCACCCTCTCCGTGTTCTCGCCCTCGCCCTCCAGGAACCGTGACCGGGAACAGTAACTCGACGTTCATTTCCAGCGGACAGGTGATGAACTTCAAGGGCGACATCATCGTGGTCTACGTCAGCCAGACGTCGCAGGAGGGCGCGGCGGGGCCGGCGGGCGCGGGCGCGGAGCCCGTGGGGCGCCCGGTGCAGGAGGAGACGCTGGCGCGCTGCGACTCCTTCGCGGGCAACGCGCCCCGCTTCGCGGACACGGTCGCCGAGGCGCTGCGGGAGCCGGGCGAGGCCTCGCGGCCGGTGCAGGAGCAGGGCGCGGGCTGAGCGGAGCGGCCGGGCGCGCGGTTCCCCCTGCGGTTCCCGCCCCGGAGGGCCCGGACTCTGCGGAGCGGGGCGGGGCGCGGCGAGTGCACCCCGCGGGCGCGCCGGGCCGGCCGTGTCGCCCTCGCTGCCTTCCCGCCTCGCGCAGGGTCGCTTCGTCCCTGATTGCCACCTCTTGACAACTTTGTTGTGACTGTCTGGTGTCGTCCAGGCTGTGTTTTTATTCACTTTCTTTCATATTTCCTGATACTTTTTCCTGCACCTTTTTTTTCCTATTTAAGGAATTTTTCAAAACCCTTCTTAAAACAAATATATATATATATATATATATATATATATATATATATATATATATATATATATTTCTCGGCTTCACACTGTTCTGCTGATGCTGTCCTAGTGTGTGTCTACGAACTTAACTTTCAGGGAAAGGCTAGGTCTGCAAAGCCTTGAATCTTGGAATGAGGTGCAGGGTACCTGTAGACGGACTTTTATTTTCTGAGAAATGTTCAGGGTCCCCATTTTTCTAAACGGAAGAAAACAGGAATGTTTTCCCCCCTGTGAATGTTTTTAAGTTTGTATAGCTCCTGGAGCGGAGCTGGGTTCAGTGCGTGGCCTTGTCCCCTCCCACCGTCAGTGGCAACAGGTATTTGGCAACTATCTTAAAAAAAATTGGCAGCTGGATCTCTAAAAATTGCTACAGTTGACATTCTTAATCTTGATGTCTCTCTGAAGGTGAAAATAATAATGATAATCATAATCGTAGGGCACTGGGTTTGCCTGCCCACAAAGTGGAAAGGAGGTGTCAGGGAAGTTCAAGAAAGAATAAAATTGAGATTAATTTGCATTTTCTCTTTCCAGAGATGAATGCCATGAATATGTTTAAACAGTAGACCCTTCTTTCTTCCTAAATAATTGTGCATCTGTAAGTTAGCCTCCACGAAAATACCCCTACTTGTTTTTAGTGCATTTAAATGACTAACCAAATCCTCACATTGTGAGTATAAGACAGCTTATTACCTGCCTCACTTTTCTCTTGCAATTGGTCCTCTTGCAAGATAACAGAACACGAGTCGGCCTGAAATGAAATCACCTGTGTGGATTTATCTAGTGTGGCCAGGGAGCCACAGTGGTTTTCCTCAATACTGGAGAAATGTATTTCTCACCTTAGCAAATTAAAAGTCACTTTGCACATCTCGTAGGTGCTAATAATGGTCACTGTGCTGACTTTAATGGTCATAGATGTCCACCTGAAGAGGAAAACGGCTGTGCATCGTTGTCTTTCTCCTGGTCTCAGTTCTCCTTGAAGTGCAGGGTGAGAACAGTCGACTGTGACTTTTAATGCAGAAGCAGGGGACAGCTCTGTCCTGCATGGGATCCTCACCATGCAGATGCGAATAACTGCAGGAATAACTGCCAGAATAACCCGTTGGTGGGAATTTACCATCTTTTCTATCCTTTTAGTTAACATCCATCCAGAGCAAAATACAACAAAATGGGGAAAAAAACATACCTTTTGATCCAGAACATATTAAACAGACAAAATAATAGTTCACGAAGTAGAATGCTGAGCTAAAAACCCACATTTCCACTGTGACTGTCATTATCTTATTTCACCTCTCTGTTTTAATTGTACTTTCTACGAAATGACAATAATGATAATTTATCATAGTTTTCTTACCCAGAGGTATCAAATGGATGCTACAGTGAATGTTAAAGTACCTTGAACTCCTTAAATAAAAGGAGCTTTATTAGTACATTTTGTCTAATTTCAGAAAAATGCTATTCTTTCCCATAGATGTCTACTAATGCTGTATCATTCCAAAGGCAACTGAATGATGGGAAATGGATAGCAAATATAGGTGTGTCTGTATAGAGACATAGGTAACCAATGTAAACAGAATAAAATGAAACCAATAAAAAATCATTTGGTGGACATGATACAGAGATTATTAAACTAATATTTGACCATAAAATATTTTTCATGGCTTGCTAAAACAAGTTTCATTTCAAACTTGTGATCCAATGTATTCCTGATTTGTATGGCATGCTGAGGTGTCACATGTTGGTTTTATTTTGTGTTTTGTTGATTCTCTTGATAACAGGCTTGGGAGAAAAAATCCTTTGATGATGTATCTGCTATGAATCTCACAAGAGAACTACATGCAGTCTTCCTACTAGTGAGAGAGTTGAAGGGGAAGGACCTGCAGAGGGGACTGCGGCCTACCCACATTTACTCCACTGCTACAAGACAGGATTAATTTCTTTTTCTACCTGAGGATGTGAAAAGTGGTTTGAATGTAATGTATAGAAACTTCATAGGGCAGGGGAACGTATTGTTACTGTATAAGAAACCATTCCAAAGCTCAATAGCTTAGAACAACTGCCACTTACCTAGTTTACTAGGATCAGCTTGGTTTACTGGATCGGCTCCGGAGGATTTTCAGGCCCAGGTCCCGCAAGGCTGGACTTCCTCGCCTGGTTGCAGTGAGCAGGCTGGTCGTTGGGGGTGTTCTGGGCTTCACATGGTCTTTTGTCCTTCCACCCTTCAAGCAAGGCTGGTTCTTCTGGTGATGTCGGGGCCCAGGGAAAGCAGGCAAAATCCAGCCAGGCTCCTTGAGGTGTAGGCACTGATGGACACACTTTCCTTCAGCCACTTCTGTTGGCCAAAGCAAGTCCCAAGGCCAGTGTACATTCAAGAAGTGGGAGACAGACCCCTGTAAGAAGAACTAAAGAGTAGCGTAGCTGGGTGGGTTACGAAAAGGGGCAGCTGGGGACCCCTTTGTCACGTGTCTCTCACAGGGACATTATTTGGATCAAAATGGTGCAGAGAAGAGTTCTATCTGGAAACAAAGCAGGCACGTTTCCCAACTCCTGATAAATGAAGGATTCCTTTTGGGTCCTGACCTAGATCCCCCATCCCCCAAATGAGTGTATGGCGGAGGTTTAAATAAAATAAAACAAATCGTATGATTTTAGGGCTCCAGGAGTGTCAAAACCCTTTAGTTGAGCTCCAGACTCTGAGGGCTAAGACACAGAGTTTTCTGGACTGCCCACTTTATTTATTAGGCCCAACAACAAGGGGCAGGGAAACTGAGGAAAGAGCAGGCAATGAGCAGGACCTTGGGAGTCACTTCAAGGACGTCTCCAAGTAGTGAATCAAGTCAATTCAGTAGAACTGTCTTATCATGAAGACACGGTAGGAGTGAGACTGTAGGAATAATTCTGCAACTGCAGTCTCCATCTACTTAATTGATGTTTGGGCCAAGTGTCCACAGCTGTGGCCTTATCTTGCCCTTTGAGGTATCTCTGGCCTCACAGGCCACTGCAGGCCTCAGCCAGGACCAGTGATTCATAGAGGTTCACTCACTGTGAATCAGCAAGGGGCCTAGGCCTAGGACAGACTCACAGATAAACATAGAAAGCCAATTAGTAAAATTGAAATCCTGCTCAGATCTGCTTCGTAGTGGTCTCCAACAGATTCCCTCTCTATAATCGAATTCCTCCAGTGGGAGAGACATTCATGTTCATATTTAAGTATCAAAATCTCTTCCAAAGTAAATGGAGATGATTTGGGAATTGGGCCTATGATATTACTGCCATACTCCATTGCACAGAAAATTGAAACATGACTTTATAAAATAAGAAAACTGGGAAGATGCTTTGGGTAGATGAACCAGTTAATAAGCAGATAGAAGACTTAGTGTTCACCTTTACTGTGCGTCAACAAATATGCTTTTTATGTACTGGGATAAAGAGTGACATGAACCAAGCACTGTCTGTGATGGACATGTGGGGTAGTACAGACCTGTTTGTTCTCTGTAGTCTTGAAAGCATATGATTCCCCTAGTCCATTTGCCTCGAGACACTGTGTGTGTGGTGCTCTGGTGCAAGTTGCACAGTCTGATTTGGGAGAGGGAATAAAGCTCTCAAGACCCTGCACGCTCCAGTGGTGAGTCGTCATTTTCATTTAGTGTACCTTTAATGTCTGGGCCCTGGGGCACCAGCAGGAGATGAAGCGAGCTGGGATCTGGAAAGGCAGGCCCATGCTCTGCTGCAGCCGCCAGAGAGGGCTGCTGGAAAGGGAGTGTGTGAGCTTCCTGATCCCCAGGCAGTGCCTTTGAACCAGCCACTTTTCAGCTACTGAAGCCTTGCAGAGGTGAGAAGGGACCTGAAGTTGGGGAGGATGGGTAGGGCAGGGTGGGGTGGAGCAACCAGGACAAATGAAGCTAAGCCCGTAGGGGTGTGGGGCAGCCTCATCCACCGAAACCCTGGACAGCACAGCCTCAGCAGCCCCAGTTAGGAGCTACCCCTGTTAACCCCATCACCGGTGTGCCCAACATTTAAACAAGAACAGAGACGTCTACCTGATCTCTGACCTCTGATCTCTGACCTCTGACCTCTGACCTGCCTTCTGGAGCCTCTCCACCGTAGATTTTCCTGGTTCTCCTGATTTTCTTTCTTCTTCCCTGATTGCTTCATAGTTACTAGGCTGACACTCATGCTTGGCTAACCCTTCTCTCCTTGATTCCTTTTTGTAAAAAATTGGCATATGGGGATGGTCCCAAAAGTTTTGTAAGAATAATAATAATAATAAGATTTTTAACTTTAAAAGATTAAATTGTGAGTTATGAGTCTTTGTAACATCAGTCTAGCCAAGGAGCTGGTGGATTTACCTTTTCCTGTACATACAAAAGCTTTGCAATCAGCCCTGGTTCACAGTTTGGCCCTGCCACTACGGATTTACCTTGGGCATGACCGTGCTTGTTCGTTTTGCTAGCCACATGTACCTAGAGGGGATGACAATATTAGTTCATAGGGCGGGTGTAAGAATGGCATAGGATAAGTTCCAACCACACCTCAAGAGTGCCTAAAGACACAGACAGGAGACACTGGGATCTTCAGCCTTTCTTTTGCTCCCTGGGGTATTTGGAAAGAAAATATGTTCCTTTTGGACTAAGACTTTAGAGTTACTGGATGGCTAGAGAAGGTGCCTTCAAAATGCGAGTGATTTGACAGGAAGTGCTCCAATGATTACTCAGAAGAATAAAAAGGTGCTCTTTGAATACAGATCAATTTTCAAATGGTCTTCACACACCTCATCCCAGTTCTCTCCACCATCTTTCCCTCCAACTGTACTGATCTCTGCAGCCTCAGGGACCTCGTGGACACTGTCTTCTCAGCAGCATTATTCACCAGTTCTTCTTCAGGTTAAATTCAAATTGTACCCAGTTCGAACAGCACTGCCTCAAAGGAGCCTCAACTACCTTTTGTCTTACAGGCCAGGTCAAGTCTCCCCACCCTCCCCGTTTGAGGCACTTAGAGATGCTGGTGATCCCTTCATAGGATGCATTCCATTACGGTAATCAATTTATTTTAGAATTTTCTAGGAGCTACCTCACCACCACCACCATCATCCCTGTCATGGCATCTAGCAATTAATACAATGCCTGACATATGTAGATGCTAAGTCAGTATGTGTTGAATGAATGAACGCAAGTGATATTCCCAGGAGCACACCTAAACCTCACCGATCATCATCCCCAACGTGTGGATTTCTCGCTGAGTTTTCACACCCAGCAAATTCTGCAGAAGGTCTCTATGTGCAGAGGAGGAAATAAAAGGCAGGATGATCAGGCGAGTTAAGGGAAACAAGACTTAAGAGATGTCATAGCAGTGAGTGATTCCAGGCAATATTCTACGAAGAAGCAATGGGGTAGGGCAGATATTTAGAAATTCCTCCAAGAAAGAGGAAAACCAGGAGCTGGCAGAGCCGGCGCTGACGCGCCCGCCCTCTCTCATCTCTCAGCTCCTATCCCACGCCATCTTCAATCAGAAGGACCAAGACTCTTACTGTTTTATAAATACAGTTTGTGGAAATGGTTTTTATACCAACAGATCTCTAGATGTCAGAGAAAGTAGGGAAAATGAGAACCACTGAGATGACTTAGTAGTTCAAGAAGTAGAAGAATTAAGCTTGCTGACCACTGGTAGAACTCCTAAAAATTAGTTAAAGCTTTGGGCAAATAAGCAGTGCTTTTCAGTGACTTCTAAGGCACTGTTAATTTTCACTGAAATGTGGACTATTGCTCTTAAGGCTTTGAGTAAAGACATTAACAAAACAAGTTACTCTCCTTTTTCAGTTGCTTGACAATATTGCCCTTTCTTCACGGCAGGATTCCCTACTTCTCTGAAAGGCACGAGCTCACTTTCTGTGAGATTAAGACATTCAGGCTAAGCTAGGAATCTTGGGGCGTCAGAAACAAGAGCCCCCAGCTGGGAACTGAGCAGAGCCGGGGACCTTTGGGTCACACGACACCTCTCTGAGAGAGCAGTAGCATCTGTAAGTCTTAATGAAACCATGATTCTCAAACACATACATTACTGTCCCTAAATTTCTCTTATGGAACCAAATTCTTCTGTTAAACCGTTTATGGAATTCTCCAATTTTAGTTGGCACTAAAATTAAACTACAGAAGTTCCTCTCACAATATGAGACACTCAAAAATCAAGCATGTTGCATGGTTTTTTATTTTTAAATTATTTTTGTCTTGTGGTTAAAATATAAATAACATTTTTCATTTTGATCATTTTAAATGGCGGTTCTGTGCCATTACAGATATAACATTCTGTGCAATCTTTACCACTATCCATTCCCAGAACATTTTTCATCTTTCAAAACAGAAACTGTACACTCATTAAATAGCAATTCATCCTTCTCCCCTCCCTACAGCCCCTGGAAACCACCCTGCTGTCTGTCCCTGTGAATCTAAATACCTGCCATGAGTGGAGTCCTATATATGTGTCCTCTTGTGATTGGTTGGCTTCACTTATCAAAACAGCCTCAGAGTGCATCCATGGTATAGCAAATGTCAGAAGTGGATTATTTTTGTCATCAAAATAAAACAAGACAAAGTGTCTTCACTTAGAACTTGTAGACATTAGTTCAGTATGACAGAACCAGCATAAAGGAGCATAGAACTTGGGAGGAGCTTAAATTTGCATGGAAAAGGGAGGAAAAATGAAAGGTTTTAGGAAAAACAAGAGGTTCTGATCACCTCTCAAAGGTCCTACCTTTAAATACCATCATCTGCTTTGGAAGTTCAGTTTCAACACATGAATTCTGGGCAAGATACACAGATTCAGACCACAGCATACGTAAGTGGTGACCAAAAATATAGTGAGTGTTTAAATTTTAAAAATTTAATCACAATAAAAATATATTCCCTTTAATCTTTGTCAGAATATTGTCCTTCACTTCAAGCAACTTATTCCTTATTCCCACTTTCTGAAACAGTTGTGGAAGTCCTCTTTTGTGAGGTCTTTATATAGTATGATCAAAAATACGGTGAATCATGCAGCTGGGTTCAATCCAATGGAAAAGCAGGCTTGTAACTAACTACATTACAGAGTATTTCAATCAACCTTATTCACCAAGTCTGGCGCTTTGTGACTTCTGGATCTTCCTCAGTATCAAAGCAACCATGAAAGGTAAATGTTTCAAATCAATTCAGGACATTAAGGCAGGCAAGACAGCTCAGCTGCAGATACTCAGGAAAAAGGACTCCAGAACTGCTTCAGAAAATGGCAAGAATGAAAGGATAATTGTGTTTGAAGTGAGAGGTATAATTTTGAGGGGGATTAATGGCAATGTGTCTTTTACTGTAATACTTTTTTAAAATGTAAGTATTAGTGTTTTCAATCACACCATACGTGTTTACAGTGCAGCAATGTGTGAGAGATCCCGTTGCTCCACATCCTTGCCAGTAATCGGTGTTTTTCACAAAATCACTCTAAAAATAGTTCAAAATAGTTGTTAAAGAAGATCAGTTTGTTTTGTTTACTTGGCTTTATTCCCTAGAACCCAGGCTTCTACCAGCTTTAGATCTATCTAAACAAATCAATGATGAGATAAAGTATTCTGAGCAACCTAGGTAATTGCACCCTTAAATTATGTCTTTTTTCTTATTATTTAATTAAAACTTTTATAACCAGCATCCCTGTTAGACAGTAGGTAGAATACCAAAAAGTCCTTTGTTACAGAGGTATTTTTAAACATTCAAATGAGATTGTATTCTCATTAACAGGAAATTTTCTACTTCCTTAATGCTGTTTTGAAAAGAATGTGAAGATTCCTGTGCTCTGGGGAAAACCAAATCCATTATTAGAACAATGGCTTGGGTGGTTGTTTTTGTTCTTCATTTATGTCTACATGATACATTAGCCACTTTTGAAATGATGGCCAGCCGGTTTAGCATAATGAGTCGCCCCAAATTTCTCTCTTGCCCTCCCATTGCCTAAGGCAACTGATTTCATTTCTCAGTCAATATAAGAATGCTACAAACTAATTTTAAATAATTACCATTGGTTCAAATGGAATATAATGAGAGTAATAAAAATAGTTATATAGAACATTAGTTATATAGTTCAAATGGAATATAATGATAGTAATAAAAATAGTTATATAGAACAGCGTAAAGACATAAATACTGTTTGAAGGGCATGCAGTCTTTGGGGCATTGATTTTGCAGTTTCTCTTCATTCGCTTTGGAAATTGAAAATAAAACAAAAATACGTTCTGCAGCAGTGTGACAGAGAATGACAAGGAGGAAGAACACCAGTCAAGCAGGACTCCTCGGCCCTCCCTGGCCTGTGGTCCAGCAGCAGTCCACAAACCACGGGAGCGTATCACTGTAAGACCAGCACTTTATAAATGGAACCCAGAAGCTTCTGAAAATTTTCAGCTAACTGTCCCTCGTACAACTGTTGAATGTTTAAATTATGAGACAGATCAGGGACTATTGTTTTAGTCTCCCCAGGATAGCTTCTAGCTATGTCCTCGAGGTCTTCAGGCCTGAAGGGTTATATAGGAAATGACAAGAAACCCACACTTGGCAACATGAGCCAGAAACTCAGGCCCAGTAGGAATAAAAAGATGCAGT